TAGACATGAACCGGGGCTAAGAAATACTAAGAATATGCTGAACCGGTCTAAACCGGTCAGTTCTCGGTCTGGACCGGTCTGGCCGAACCATTGGCTCGGTCACTCGCGCACTGGGCGCAGTCTGGGCACTGCCGGCGCTACTGGCGCTGGCAGGCGCTAGTTGGCTTGGTCCCGTGCATTGGCAGGTGCTGCGAGCACCCCGCACATGCTGGGGACGGTCGCAGACATACTGCCGTACGTTGTTAGTGACGGCTGGACACTGTTTAGCTTGGCTGGTCATTACCGTGCACGTTGGCAACGGTACTGGCTCATATTAATACTGTCGGGCGCTACTATGTGCCACGGATAGGTGACTGGATACGTAAGCAACACTGCTTACGCGTATTGAAATGACTAGGCACTCACCCGTGCTGCAGGGCATCGGTCGAGGCCTTACTAAGCATGCTGGCGCGCTATCGAGCACTCAGGCATGCGTACGGTGGTGTGGTACACGCTGCTGAGCGTGTACTGCACACCTACACACTACTTAGGACATGACTACGGAGTACTGGCCACGCATACGCACTACTGGGCGTACTGGCGTGCTACTAAGCACGACCAACGTTGACTGGACCTTATCGGGCGCGACAGACATTAGCTAGTACACAACCGGGCATGACTTAGGCGTTGGCGGTGCGACTGGCACAACCCACGCACACGAAACGACCATCAGATGCCTCCGGCACAACCGACGGTCGACTGATATAACTGGGCTACCGTGTATGCAGCGCGACCACGACCGGCCCTTGCCGGCCGTGTAGTGATTTCTCCCAACTGACTGAACCTTAATTAACATGGCCAATTATAACTTAACATGATCATATAAACATGAATTTCTCAGAAATTGTCGGGTAAAACTGAACATAACTCGGGATGACTTTAAATGGCTTAACCGAGCACAACACGGCAGTAAACATGAACCGTTCTATATGATGATCTCCTTAACATGACAACATAACATTAAAAGAGGATTGACAGGAGGTTACCTTCCCGATTACACATGAAATGATGTGCGTTGTCACTTGCTTCCAATTGATAGTGTGCATGTGCATACATGTGTTCGTCTCCTTTCTCCCGTACGTTACTTAGATTTAATTAGAGGAAAATTCTCTTAACTGCTGTATACTATACGTAAGTTTCCCCCAAATAAATTTCTCCCATCCTTAATATAAAAGGGACACGTGAATTTGTGAAGGAAGGTGAATAAGGATGAAAATACGTTGGCCAATCAAATGCCACAACTTGCCACACATGTGAAACTTTAGGTGTACATTTAAATGATTAGTCACCACTTGTTCATTGAAAATAAGCCACGTATACTATTAGCCATGATAATATTCACGTGAAATTGGCTCCTCAACTCTTGATTATTTGCATGAATCAAGCACGGCTTATACGTGCTTACTTAAGCATGATTGGTTCTAATTAACCACAATTAATGCTAACTAATCATGATTACCACTAATCATATTAACCTTAAGCTAATTATAATTAACATTAAACTAATCATGACTATCCTTAAGCTAATCTCGATTAATTAGCTTAAACATGATTAAGTTAATTAAGCAAGGTTAATGACCAATACTTAATTAACAATGGACGGTGTACCAATGTGAACGCGTCACAGTATAGGTATACCGAACTTGACATGAAACTGATGTTCGGAACATTATTCCGAACATGAAACTGATATTCGAAAGTTAATTCGAATATTCTTGACTTAGACGATTAATCCGAACATAAATATTTCGAATAATTCGTCAACTTGACTTATTAATTCCAGACTCATTAACTAATTAAATGAATCGGAATTAAAATCTGAAAACTTATTCGATTTATCCAACCGAACAACATATCGACTAATAGTCGAACTTAGAATCTGATTGACTGAGTTACTTGAACTTGAACATAAACATAACTATTTATTAACAAAGGCTAGCTTAATACTAAAAGCTAGTAATTCCTTTATTAATAAAACTCGGGGTGTTACAGAAAGTGTAGAAGAAAAAGAAGAAAGTGAGTGAAAAATGTCAAAATGTTTGCGTAAAAACACTGAAAAAAACAGATGAATCGATAGAAAGTGAATAAGAAAAGTGGAGGAAGTCCTAGCTCATCTGATCTCTTCATGCTGCTGCTTTTTGTGACTCCCTTTTTTTTGCACAAGTAAAATGTAGTAAATCGCAATGAATTGAAAAAAAAAGTCAGAGATGTTGATAGCTAGCTAGCTGGGTTTGGGATGAATCTTGTGAGGTGAGGGCAAT